ACCACAACCACCAAGACCACGACCACAAAGCCCCCCTACACTACAACCACTAAGACCACAACCACAAAGCCCCCCTACACCACAACCACCAAGACCACAACCACAAAGCCCCCCTACACCACAACCACTAAGACCACCGCCACCACCTCCGCCTGCAAAACATTTACCGTCTGCGACCCATGGTACACGCCTACAGATTCATGGCAGACCGTGGCCTCTTGAGCCTGCTACACAAGATTCGGAACAAGTTGACCGCAAAAAAGCAAAAGGAATACAAAAGCCAAAATGCGCGATTCGAAAGGATTACGAGCTTTGGGGGATTATCACGAGGATTGAGCCGAGATTTAGGGTACATTTTTACTTTTCTTTTTGCCTTTTTACTCTATGCGACGTCTCCTCTTGTTTCCGTCTGTTATCTTTGTTGAGTCTGATATGTGTAACTTTGGTTGCTGTCCTGTAATCTTCTTTCTACTGGCATGTAACCTGTCCTGTAATGCTTGTCGTTGGTTCCGCCTCGTACTAATAGTCTGATGGTTTGATGAAACAAAATCATAACAAACCGTTTTTTTCTTCCACAAAGACAAGTTTATAATCTCAGTTATCGCCATAATTCAATGTTCACTTCGCACAAAAACCATGTTTGTTCAAGCACAGTTAGTGGTCTATCACCTAGGAAACGTAGATCAAGGTCGTATCCGTACGTCTCATTTCTCCTTCTAGGAGAGATATGACCATGCGATATCCAAGATCAGATGCGGAATTTCAGCTAGAAGTAGAAGTTGGAATAATCTGATTCTCCCTCGAATACGATACCCAGACTCAAAGCCACTAACTAGACCATCTCTGCAAGCAAGTAAACAACCACTTTACACCTCCCGTATTACCTACCTCAATACTTTATCCAAACTTAACTTGGTGCGTACCAGCCGATAGAGCGATCGAGCTTAAAGCAAGCTTAACCCCGGTAAGGATAGAACTCCCTCCTTCCGTGCTGGTTGGGAAAAACAAGCTTTAGCCTCAATTAGCTTTTTTTTTATTCCCTTTTTCGTAAACGGATTTACGGTCCCGCACTTTCCAACTCTTCAAAAGCCCAAGGAGAGGGAAGGGCGGGACTGACGACGGACCCACGGCTCGCGGCGGTCGTGATTTCTCACACGGACTTCTGGGACTGGGTCTTCGAGTCCGCTGGGTGGTAGATGCTAGATCGTACATAATCCCGACCGTCCCGTGGAAGTGAGCTCCGCGGCTGATGATGCCGGCGGTACGCTTTGTCTGCGTGATCCATCGGGTGGGGGATTGCTTTAGGGCACGAGTGGGCAGAGGTGCTCGTGTTTTGGGCAATGTGACTATGACGCTACGGCTGAAGTCGGGGTTGGGGAACGTAGCTAGTGGTCTTTTCCCGGAGGGTTTCTTCCTCAGAGAGGAGTTTGCGATGAGAAAGGAGTTGGCCCGGGGACTCCCTTCTTTACGGGTGGTGGAGATCGTGATACTCAAGTGGACAAGGGAGGAAGGTGGTTTGGCTCAATCACTCACTACTGCAGTGATAGAGGATGATACTTTTTCTTTTCATTCAAAGAAACAAAACAAGTCAATCAAACAGGCTTTTTATGGCTCTGTGAGATGCATAAAGGTTATGAACTCAAGGCTATCTGGAAGACACTATCTATACGACGGCTGAGGTGGTACGTTGAGCCCTACTTTAGTCTTTCCCAAATGCGCCCAGCCCGGCCGCCAGCTGAATGGTTTCATTCAACATCGCCTTTTCTGCGTCCGTAAAGTTCGAAATTTGGTTCGAGTGCAGGCAGAACACATTACTGGGCCGGATATCGTAGTGACCGTCGCCCGCCACATCCGGCGGTTCGGTGATGAAGGATTCGAAGCGGACAGGATGCCGGTCGCCCGAGATCTTGGGAAACAGCCAGCCGTTGAACCAGAGCGGCCGCCTCCCGCCATCGAGATGCAGCACCTGCGCCCCACAGACCGTATACTGCGCGGCATCCTTCTCTGCAACTTCCATTGGACCCATCGTTGCGACACTTCCCTCGTGGAAGGCGTACTCGGTGTCCCCGATCAACTCCCAGCTCAGCCAGAAGGTCTCTTTGTCTCCTGCTCTAGCGATTAGTAACCCGACTCTGTTTTGTTCGAATGGAAGAATAAACAGGGGAAAGAAACCTACCAAGGACCATATCATAAATGCCCGGTCTGCCTTCGTCCTTGTTGCCATCGCGATCCGGACCGTTCAGGCGTGTGACGAGGAGCATGGCCGAGAAGTGGCGCCATTTGTCCACCACGACGACCCCGGATTCCTGCATATTGCTGCTCTCGCCCGTCCAGAAGCGATTTTTTCGAACCGCCTGCGATACCGGGGCGGGCAGGACATTCTTCAGCCAGGCCTTCCGCTCCATGGTGGGCTGGAAAACGCGGTCGTAGAAGAACAAGGCGCCGGTGCGCCGGTAAGCCGGGTCCTCCAGTAGAGCGGCGGGGTTGGTGAAGAAGAGCGAGTCTGCATCCACCAAGATCACCTCCCGGAAACTCGACAGGAGCATCGCGAACGCCTTGGCCGCCCACCCATGAAGGGTCCAGCCCTCGTCATCGATCATCGGGCGGAGGTCCCGCGTCACCACCCCAGGGATCGCCTCGAGTTGCTTGCGATACTCCGCCCCTAAGTCCTCCGCCCCCAGATAAAGCACCTCCACGGGCAAGGTACACCCGAGCCGGCGGAGTGACTGGATCGAGGTCAGCAGATAGACCGCCTGCCCGTTGCCCGCAGTGAAGACTAGCCCCCGCCCGCCCGTCGCGAACTCGGCGTGCAGGTTGATGAGTGGGCCAAAGTAGGGCTGGGTCCAGCCGAAGAGAGCGGTGGAGAGCTGGCTGAGGAACGTGCGCGCCTCCTCGTAGGCGTGAATCACACGAGCCGGGTCCATGGCCAGTCGCGCGGCGACGGCCTCCCGGTGGTGCTGGAGGTATGCTAATGTATCCTCGCGGACGAAGGTCGGTCCCCGGGTGGACGAGGATGTCGGCTTGAGATGGAGAGCTTCCCATGCTTCAAAAAAGGCTTTGAAAACGCGGGCGCGAGTCCCCACTTCCCGGATCTTCGCGTCGCCAGTCTCCTGTATCGGCTCGGTCATATCCTTGCGATCGGCTTCATCCGGGAGGAGGGTGAAGATGTCTTGCAGGGCTTGCGCGACGGAAGTAATCGAGTCTTCGCCGCTCCCGCCGCGGAGAGGGTTGTAATCCAGCACATTATGAGGAAAGGAACTGGACGGCTTGCGCGACGGTGCCTTGTCAAAAGAGGTAGGCCAAAAGGAATCCCTGTCCACATCGCTAGTGTTCAGGTTGTTTTTTTCATAGCCAGAGTTGAGGAGCCAGAAACAATATACAAGGACGGATGTGACGATGAGGACTTTGAGCGGGAGTCCTCCACGCCAGCGGTAGGGAAGTGAAAGCATTGTGGCTAACATCGTAGAATCGCTGGAAGGAAAGATGGAAGATGTAGTTCTCTCCCACCGCGGTGTGGGTTAGCTCTCTATAAGCCCTGAGTCATGACTTCATACACCACCCTCAGCCAACGCTTGACTTGCTAGAGTGATAAAGTACTGTTGGGTGTCCCCACTTCGGTCCAGACCTAATATGAGGTTGTGGGACTGTACAGACCACGAAAGGTGGAAGAATATGCCAAACTTGCCATCCACAGCAATGAAGCGTGCTCAGGGAAGCCGTAAATGGGATGTCGAGTTACAACCGGAAGATTTGGTATGCCATCAGTCAATTACGTGACTCATGAAATCATCCATGCTCCAGTAGTTTGGTTGGGATGCGAAATAGAAAAGATCTTCACCCGTGGCTGAGCCGACGGTTCACTCCCGTAAGCACAATTTGGGCGGCGGCTCGGTCTAGAATCCTTTTGCAACAAAGAAACTCAAAGCATCACATCAACAGTCAGGGGCGGGCCTCATCGGATGGCTTCCGTGGATAGAAGAACTTAATAAGTCAAAGCTATAGAATGGCACAATTTGAATACGTTTGGATATCGAGTCCATTATCTCACAGTTCGACTTTTCTCTAATCTCGAGCAGATCCTACGATATAACCCACAAGTTTTTCCTCTCGATCGCGTCAGCAAGATTTGATTATCACCAGGTGCCAGTTCTGAGTCAAGGTCATAGACAAAATCCCGTTCCAAAGCAACGTCCACTATGGAGAAAGAAAAGCATGTCGATATCGGAGCGGTCCCGTCTCCATCTCCAAGCCCTGAAGAAACTGGGCGAAGGGAGATAAGCAGATACCCCACGCTCTGGATAGTCATTAATATCCTAGCAACCGTTACAATTGTAAGTATCAGCGTGTCAGAGAAGCTTTCGGGAGAAAACCGGGGGGAGGGCAAAAGTTCAATAGCTGATCCTACAGGTATACATCAATAAATCCATCTTTTCAGATCCCGCCTTCAGGAAATGCCAGTTCAGCTTCGTCGCGTATCACTTCACCATCACTGGCGTCCTCCTGTTCATCGTGCGACGAGCCTCGATCCTAAAGATCGCGCCCACAGATACCCCCTTAATCGCGATGCTGCCCCTTTCCCTCATCATGCTCGCCAATATTCTCCTGATGAACCTGTCCCTGGCCTACAGTTCGATCATCAGCTACCAGATCGTCCGCATCCTCCTCACCCCACTGACCGTGCTCATCAACCTCTTCTTCTACAACTCCAAGATCCCGCTGTACGCAGCGCTGGCGCTTGTGCCCGCCTGCCTCGGTGTAGGGCTCGCCACCTACGCCGACCTACTCCCCGGCCGGCGATCGCTCCCCTCAAACCCCGGGGTCATGGACTCAACGTCAGCCCTAGGCATCATCTACGCATTCAGCGGGGTCTTCTGCTCCGCGCTATACACCGTCTGGGTGGCGCACTACCACTCGCGCCTGAACATCTCCAGCATCCAACTGCTCTACAAGCAAGCCCCCTTCTGCGCGATCTTCATCGGCGGCATCTCGCTGCTCACTGATACGTTTCCGACTACGGCGACAATCACACCCCGCAAATGCGGTCTCCTGCTACTCAGTGGCGGGTGTGCGTGCTTGATCAACCTCTCGTCCTTCCACGTGATCCACGGTGCGGGCACGGTGACCAGGACAGTGGTGGGCCAGACAAAGACGTGTCTCATCATTGCGCTGGGGTGGGTGTGCAGCTCGCCTGCGATGGCGACGGAGAGTATTCTGGGTGCGCTGCTTGCGGTGCTCGGCATGGTACTCTACACGGCGGCCATGCAAAGGAAAGCTGTTCGATAGCTTGTGTGGGTCATGGCTGTATACATCTATCCTACATCTCTCAAATGACGAAGCATTTCCCGGGGTTAGTATAGGAGAACCAGTAAATCCAACTCAGTAGGGACCAACCCCGGCGGGCAACAGCTTCACCCAGCAGTGGCTGCACCCGCACTGTCAAGTATACTACTAGGTAAGGTAGCCAGTCGAATTCCAGTGACACCAAGAATCAAATAATCTTACTAGCTTTGAGCAAACTCAATTCAATATTTTTCACCCTATGCGCAAGTGACGACCGAAGCCTACACCTTCAGTCGGGGCCGCGGATTTGAGTTGATGCTTATCTTGCAGATCCTCGATCTCAGGCTCCGTCCGTACCATGGAAGATGTGAGCTCGGTTTCCCACAAGCTTAAAGCACCAGAATGCCTAGCGGACAAAGAAAAAGACTGATGTCATGACTGGCCCGATCAACTTTAATGCTTATACCGTGCATGCAACTTTTTATCTCGGATCGGGATGAGCCCTAACTACGGAACAAGCACGCACGGCTTCGTAAACCCACTCCCGGTCGAGGTTACGACCCGCGTAAAAGTGGTGACTAGAGCGGAGCCTGCTCGTCGCCACGATCACACAAGCACTGGCTTTCGAGTATCGTAATTGATTCCAGGTGTCACACTGTCAACGACAGTCAGAAAACGAACGCCCCATCGATCGATTATACTACACGAAAGAGACGAATCTAGACCGATTTCTTCCGAGGACGAACGGGGGTTTGCGAGGTGGGCTCGAGGAGTTTAAGCTCAGTCGATAACAAGTACTGTACAGTATTCCTACTTGAGTGGTATCTATCACGCGCACCATGATCTACCTCGACGTTGAAGAAGCTGATTCTTTGTTGTGTGTAGATCCCATCGTATCGTCGTCATTGATTCCCCCCTCCAGAGGCCTTTGCACATCGCGTCCTTTGCGAAGAAACTTTCCGCTAGCTGAGACGAGGTCCCCATTTGCTTTCATGCGAGATTGAACAACAATTATTCTGCAACATACATCACCGACTATGATCTGAAAGTCTGATCTACAGCTACGCAGGCGCCAAGTGCCCATCCTGTTGAATCTTTACTCTCGGTCATATGACTAGATTCTCCCTCGAGATGGCTGCACCACACGAACTGACCACACGAAGCCCAGATCAAATTGTGCACTAATTAATTAAACGGCTCATTTCGCAGGGGATCTGAAAGCTTGCCCTATGTTATCCTGGAGAACAGGGGACACCCACTTCTCCGTCCTAGAGCAACTGCTCTTTCAAAGTCTCGAAAACCTCCTCGTCCAAGTCCAGGGGCCCAAAGATCGCTGCCATTTCCAGCAGCAACCGGTAGACGTAGATGGACATATCAATATCACGCAAAACGCGACGCGACCACGTGGACCCGGCCTCAGCGATCTCCGCGGAGAGGCGCTCGCCCTCGGGGTCATTGATGAAGAAGTCCATCACGGCGGGCAGCTCCTCCATGCCCATCGTGACGGGGATATAGTGCGCCCAGGGGAGCAGACGCTCGTCGTGCCACTCCTGGAACCAGGTCTGCTTGAGCACGACGGCGCGCTGCGAGAGCAGATGATAGAACCGGCCGCTCATACTGTTTCCGTCCAGGTCGTAGAGGTAGCGGAACTGCCGCTCGGCCTCCTGGCCCTCGTAGTGCGCCGGACCCAGCACCCGCTCCATGTCGCTGCACACCTCGTTGGGGCACTGGATGTACGCCCCCATCTGCACGTCGAAGGCATTCCGCAGCGCGTGGGTGGTGCGTTCGTCCCCGCGCCGGAGGACTGATGCGGCGGCAGCAGTAGCGGCAGCACCGCCAGCACCGCCGAAATACCGACTCATCTCGAGCACCTCCGCCGCCCGCTGCAGCGCGTGCACGAACCCCACAAACCGCTGGCGTTGGCCGTACCACCACGTCGTGCGCAGCGCGTGACCCCCCGTCGACCGGCCCCGCCAGTAAACCGCGTTCTGCTTGTCGAGGAAGGGGACCGAGTCCGCTTCCGTCTTTTGCTCTTCCACCGGGTTGTCCACGTAGAAGGGGCAGGGGATCAGGATGTCGCGGAAGGGGGCCATGCGCCCGTAGCTCAGGATGGGCGCGCGCGCGTGCGTGTAGCTGAAGGTGCTGGGAGAGGCGATGAAGCCGTGCAGCTTCCCCGGCTCCCGGGATTGGCAGACATCGCGTTCCTGGTCTACTTGATGGTGCGCCACCTGCGTGCAGGATTCCTGGATCAGCCGCTCGATGGATCGACCTCGATGGTCAAAGAAGGTCACGTTGTCGGCCGGGTACACCCCACCGGCTTTGGCGAGCACGCGGGGCTCGTCAATCAGGTTTATGTAGACCAGGAGATTACGCGGCAAGGCATGTGCGAAGGGGGCGACGAGACTGGCCCATTCGCGACCGTACCGGATATCTCCCGAGGCATTGACATGGCCTTCCACAAAGGCCACGCGCCGGGTGTACGGCCAGTCTCCCTGGTGTTTCTCGTTAAGCCGATGGAAGACGCGCCGGGCCTCGTCGGTCCTGTAGGGTTGGAGGTCGATCTCGATCTGATCGAAATCGTCAATCACGCGTGAGTCGTGGTCCAGGGCGAATTGCACCCATTCCCGGAAGCCGGGGGGTGGCGGTCGACGGTAGCGCCGTTCGTACTCGGCGATGGCCGCTTCGGGCGTGCGCGATTGCGCCTCGAGGAAATGCGCCATGCGCGACTGCGCGGCTTCAATCTTGCACCGGATCGCAGCGCTGGATAAAGCTTTTCCGACCTGGCGGGGCGTACAGCCCGACCCGCTCGCCCCAAAAGCCTCGTCGTGGCTGCTGAAGTGGTTCCAGGACCCCCCATGGTGCGATTGGAGGTAGAGCTGGGATGAGATCAGGATAATGAAGATGGTGGCTGAGATCACAAATGCAGCCTGAAGGCTTCGTATCCAGAGTCGGAATCGAAGCAGAGACATGGCGAATTTTGCTTGTAGGCGCCCCTCACTTGATGGCCCAGTATTGAAGGTGTTATGAGAACATGGGCGTTGGCTTTGTCGACAGATATATGGCGCTTTTGCTCTAGGGCCAAAAGAAAGAAAGGTTATCTGTGCAACCAACATATTGCATGAAGCTCTTCCGTTCAAAGAACAGAGAAGCAGATATGCGCGTCATTGGGATTATGGAACCATGGTGACCATCTCAGTTGGCTGTTGAACTATACGAAAATGTAGTTCGGTAGTAACTTTCTTGCCAACCAGGGGTCGAGAGGTGGTCCGGCGATCGGCCTAGATCTACCGTTCCAATTCTTTAATGCCTCGGGCTGAAAGGGTACGGAAGACCATTGCGGCCACTCGGCAAAAGGAAAATCTGCCAGTAAAATTATAAGTAAAAGAAGATAAACCCTTATGATCCTAATAATAAGGAATAATTAATAGTCCCTAATAAGTTAAAAGTAGTCTCTAATTAAAAAACCCTAAGAACAATACCTTCGATCCTAGAAAATTCTAAAGATTCTAATATAAAAAGGGGCTGAGTTTATTACATAATTTAAAGAGCTTTCTTAGGAGGAAGAAAAATAGTAAAAAGACTAAGAGTTAATCTAGAAAATACTTTAATCCTATAGGCCCTAGGGGCTGAAGGGGATGGCGGTATTAAGAGAAAATAGGTTGGTTTAGTATAGAATAGTAGCAGTCTATTGTATTCAAGACTAATCCTTGCTATCCTAAGGTATAGTAAGATTCTAGGGGTTAAGTACTGGAGGTACTTTAAGTTATTAATATTACAACCTTTCCATTAATAACATATAGGTAAGCTGTTTGGTAGTTCACCATATTTCCGGGGATTACCTTTAACAGGCGGCGGAGGAGGGACAGCAGAGGAGACTTGGTTACAATAACTATTTTAGTAGGCAGTCACTGCTGCGGTAAGGATACTAAAAAAAAATTCCATTTGCCGAGTGGCTGCAATGGTCTTCCGTAAAAGGGTTTCTTGAATCCATCAGCTGTGGATGAATCACGACACTGAGCAGCCATAGATAGTACGTATGTTGGAACTGGTATGGGTAAAGGTCCGCCCGCTGCACTTCCCGGACAATGGCCGATTATGCGCGGATGAGGACGTAATTCGTAGTCAGGATAAGAGAGACACGTCAAGTATCGAAGACATAACTACCTGAGGAGGAATTTTATCATCACAATATACACCCAGAGCAGAGAACAACGCTAGACCGACACACTCATTCTAAGACCCAACCCAGCCCCCAGGGATCACGCCTCCATCTCAATCCTTTCCTCCTTCTTCTCCTTCTTCACACTCCGCCACCCGACCCCCCACGCGAACACAAACTGCGCCACCGACAGCGCCGTCGTCAGATAGAACACTTGATCGACGCTCTTGGCGAACCCGCGCACCACCGCCGGCAGGTCTTCGGACGATACCACCGACCGGAACCCCGTCGCGCCCGCCTGGATGACAACCGCCGCGTCGACGCCCGCCGCATACCGCGGGATCTCCGTGCGCAACGCCTGCGCGAAGATCACTTCGGCGACCGCCAGGAAGATCGCGCCCCCGAACGTCTGCGCGCAGGTCATCATCGCCATCGCCGTCGAGACATCGTCGCCTTGCACTGCGTTCTGAATGGCGATCATTGGCTTTGGTTCTGTTAGCTTCATGGACAAGATGGGGAAAGGGGAGAAAGGAGGACTCACGACTTGCGAAATCGCGCCGCGGCCAAACCCTACAAGGGCCTGGTATCCCGCCCACTTGGGGACGGAGGTGTGCGGGCCCAGCGTTGAGAGGAGGCCGTTGCCCACGGAGTCGAGGATGGCGCCCAGCACGCCCCAGGGGAGGTAGTAGCCGAGTTTCGAGGCTGTCGGTCATCATCATTAGTTCTACCGTCAGGCCACCAGTGGTATCAATGGAAGGAGCGTACTCAAAACCCCCGAGACCACCGCCATCACCAACTGACACAGTATATTCGGCAGCAGGTTCACCCCGCTCACCAGTGCGGACTTGCCCCGCACCGACTGGAAGTAGATGGGCAGGTAGTAGGACAGCGTCATCGTGAACCCGAAGATCACCATCGACAGCAGACTACTGCTCAGCACGATCTGGTCGCACACCAGGTGGCCCGGGATCATCGCTTCAGCGCCCATCCGCCGCTCCCACAGCGCGAAAACCGCGAACGTCGCCGCCGCCCCGACGAACAGCCCGATCACCGTCGCGCTGTCCCACGCGTAGCTGTTGCCGCCGTACTGTAGCGCCAGCAGCAACATGATCGATGCCGGCGCGAAGAGCACGAACCCCACCAGGTCGAATTTCTGGAGGAACAGCGATTGCAGCACTTCCCGCGCGGGCGGTTTGGGTTTTTGGTCGGGAATGCGGGTGAAGAGGAGGAGAGCGCCGACTAGAGCGCCGATGGGGAGGTTCATGTAGAAGCCTAGTCGGGGAGAGGGTCAGTGTATGTTGGGTGTTTGTTTGCGATGAGAGTGGGTAGGAGGGATGGGACTTACACCACCGCCAGGTCGAGTAGGTTGTAAATGCACCGCCGACTAACGGCCCGCCTACGAGGCCGAGCTGTCCCACTGCACGCCATCGTTCGTCAGTTTCCTCTTTCCACGGGCAAGGCGAAGGGGTACACACCCCCCATGATCACCCCGATCATTGCCGGCCGCTTCTTGTTCGGAACCGCCCCGGCCAGGATGTTCAGCGCCCCGTTCAGCATCCCCGACGACCCCATCCCGGCCACCGCGCGCCCAATGATCAGCATCTTGGACGAGGTGGCCACCCCGCAGATCAGGGAGCCCAGCTCGAACAGCCCGAAGAAGGAGAGGAAGGTCCATTTCGAGGAGAAGTAGGTGTAGAATTTTCCGGTGAGGGGTTGCAGGGCGGCACTATGGTACCCGGTTGTTAGCTGGTTCTGTCGGCTGCCGGTGGATAGGGTTATGCGAGGGGTGTTCCTACCTGGAGATTGTATATGCACTGCCGTACCAGGCTACATCCTCGAGGGAGTTGAATTGACTCGTGATTTTGGGGATTGCCTGTTCCCAACAATGCCATAATGTCAGCCAAGGTTCCCGCTTTTCTTGTATGTGTGTACGTGTGGCTGTATCCGCCGCGTGCTTCCACTGAAAGAGGGAATGACCCACCGTCGAAACAATCGACACATCCAACAACATCAGAAACACGACCAGCGTGATCCCCGCAATTACCATCACCAGCGTCAACCCGTGCACCCATTCCGGCTCGTACTCGTCTTTCGGGTGGATCGGTTTCTTCTCGTCGTGAGGCTCCGGTTCCGGTTCCCACGGGGTGGGGTTGGAGCCCAGCAGATGGGGCTGGCTGCTGCTGCCGGTGCTGTCGTGGCTCATCGTGGCGGCGTGCAGGCTTTTGGACGATCTGGGTTTCTCGAGGGATTGCGCCATGCTTGGGCTCTGTGTGACAGGAGAATATCCAGATGGGCACCTAAGAAATTGAAGCGGATTGAAAGTCGATGGGTGGGCTTGTTTTAAGTATCAGGGCCGGAGACGGTGTTGGCGGTTCCCGTCGCCGGACGCCGGTTTGTTTTGGTGGGTGATGGCTGCGCTGGCGCTGTCGAACGCCGGTTCTCCCGCTGTGAATCCCGGTCCTCACTACAGTAATTGTCAACTCCGTATCCCCTGTTGGCTGCGACCGGTCGGAGATCCTCCCTTTTGGGAATTTACCGAGAAAAGTCATATAGCTTCAATCTTGCTCAAGTACACAAATTGATTCGACGATGATCCAGGCACAACGGAATAGGACGAACAGCCCCGTTCTCGTGTCTTGCGTGGCCTACGAGGTAGAGTGGCACAAATTGACTCCTGTAGTATTTGTTTCAGTCATTGTAAGCCCCAATGCTAAGGGATGATTCTTGGACTGTTTTTTAGAGAGCCAAAGAGGAATTACAGTCCAGTGATGCTGTAACCGTGTGAGCGTGTGATTGAGTCATGGAAGCGGGGCAATAAATATAAATTCGGCTACCCGGGGTATATGAAGCGCTTCACACCACCAATCCCCCCTACATGATGCGTTTCGACAGCGATGACGAGACTGACAGAGACAAAGACCAGAGCTCTATACATCAAACATATATCCGCTACGACCAAGAAGAAAACCCACCCGCTCCATTCCCCTCGGTCAACCACGCCATCTCCGACCAGCTCAGGAAACTGTCCAGATCGCCCATCTCCATGCTCGACGCAAACACCTCCCCACCCCCGCCACTGCGATCGACCACCACCCCGGGACACTCGGGCAGCCGCACCGCCCACTCGCTCCGCAGCTTCTGCATCATCATCCCCAGCTTGCTGAACGGATCGCCTAGCGCCCCGTCGCTGCGCATCCCGACCGCCGCGGCCACCTGGCTCATACGCGTGGCGATCTGCTCTGCAACCATTAACAGGTCCACCGTGCCTTTGACCGCTGCCTTGTCCCAGCCCGGGTAATCCAGGGTCGACAGCCGGAAGAGGGTCACCAGGCAGTGCGACACCTGCGTGAGATAGGGCAGCGCCAGCGAGGTGTATTCCGCCGGAGAGATGGTGAAGAAGAGGTCGAAGAACTGCTTGACCACGTGCAGGCAGGCGTACAGGTGGCCGAGCCGCTGGCTGCTCATCTCCTCGTCGGGCGGGGGCTTGACGAGGGCGACCTCGTAGAGGCTGATTTCCGTGTCGTACAGATGGAAGAGGATGGGTTCTGGGCGACGGTTAGTCTCTGCTGTACACTGCTCTGCGAGGTTCCAGGGAAATTGCACGTACTGTTGTCGGTCAGGGGAATGGGCATCTCGACTTTGATCGTCTCCAACCGCGACTCGAAGGCCTTGAGATGGAACGCGGCGAGCGCCTGGGTCGGATGGAGGCCGTACACGCCTTCACACCAGGGCCCCTGCAGGATCTGGTCCGCGAGGAGTCTCGTGCGCGTGATCTGCACGAGGACGCCGTCCCCGGGTGATTCGTCGCTTTGCGCGAGAATGTCGAGACACTCTTTCATATGCGGGGTCCATCGCAGCGGGTCCATTCGCCCGAGGAACTGCGCGATTCTGGGCCGGTCAGTCACTCCGCCGTTGCTTCGGTGCCGTGAAGCTTACATGGAAGTCAGCACAAAGCAGCTCAAGACTGCGCGCCGTTCGTTCATCGTGCGGCGCGTCGAGATGGACGCTTTCAGCCCCGGCATGTGGCCCACGGCATTGCTGTTGGACACGGTCATGCTCAGATCCGGCGGTGCGGGCTTGTTTAACCCTAGCTCGAAGACCAGACCAATGGCCATCTGGGCATAGATGCATAGCGATGACTTTTGCGGCTGGCTGTGGAACGTGACCCTACAGTCGGTCAGCGATGAACTCACTTCGACCCGGAACGCAGGAAATACCAGGCGAGATAGACCAAGACCCCCTGCAGCAAGTCCAGGGACTTATCGCAGTCGACCAACAGGCGTTTGCCTGCCAGCTCGCGGATGGTGACACACAAGGCGGCTTGCCGAGCGGCATGCTTACTCTCCACCGCGGTGATACAACGCCACAGGAACGGGGACTGGTGTTTCAGGTCTTGCGCAGTAGTGGTGGCGGGGAGGTGAATCAAGGGGAGGAATTGCAGCCGGTGTGTACGGAAGGCATGCAGAGCCTCTTCTTCCTCAGCCGGAGTGTCGATGTCGATGTCTGCTCGTTCTGGGGCTGGGGAAGATGTTTCGGCCTCAGGCTGTGGATGTTGGAGCGGAGTCGGCGTCTGCAGTCCGGTCCGACCGGCGGCACCGGAGGAGGTCAGCAGCATCATCAGCCCATCCATCTTCCGTTCCAGCTGCACCGTCTTGGATAAGGGGCGCGTCTTGCGACGGCCCTCGGGGATGCGACATTCTTTGTTGAGACGATGGCATCTGTGGAGTTTGCATTATCTTGTCAATGTTAAGGTCACACTCACTGCCAACTGGTCGGACTTTGACCCACCTTTCACAGCGGCCGCCCGCACTCCGGGGAACGCATCGACACTTGGCACGAGCACAGGTGGCACACGCATTGCCATAGGGGAGAGGGGAGCGGATGGCGGATTCCATCATGATACGCACGCAGATCCTACTGAGCTCACATAGAGTGAGAAGAGAAAGGGGCAAAGAAGAGGAAGCGGAGGAGGGATAGGAGGGAAAAACAGTGGAAAAGGCAAGGGAGCGGACACGGCGTTGGGCCAACCCCGGCTTACACGTGACCTCTCCGCCCACCGGAGGCATGCCTGGCGTTCTACAGATTCACTTATAGGTTAAGCAGAGTCATGTCATTTACTCATTTACTGAATACTATGCTGTTTTCTGTATTTCGCTCCGTGCTTCGCTGACTCCGGCCACTCGATCTGGATACAGTCCTGTACTGTGCATACAGTACACATTATAGTACATACAGCCTCACATCTAGATTTATGCTTACCACGTAACCTTATCATCCCCTCGCAACACACCTATCAAGTGAAGAACCGCTCAGGAAGGCTTTCACTCCCTCCACGGACAAGCCAGCCATCTCCGCTCCTTTCCTCAGGATCTCCGACCGTAAAAAGTCTACGATTGGTGGTGAGTCCGAAGGATGCGGCCCCCAGCGCTGGGCGACCGGAGTCTAGCCTTAGAGCCTTGCAGCCTTAGGGCTGGCCCAAACCCTTTTCTTCTGCTATAGAAAAACAACCCCTGCTTCTCCTGCTCAATCCACCTTATCGTGCACCCATCGCTTAATTCATCCCCTCGAGAATGTCGGAGACCCACGACTCATCTTCCACCGCCTCCAGCCTGGAGAAGGGCCCGCAGCCCTCGCACACTGGCGACCATGGCGACTCAGAAACCAGTCACTCGGTGGAAGATGCCAGCCCGGCTGCCGCTTCGCCCCCTAAGAAGCAGGGAACCAAGGCCTGGTTGGCACTGACCGGTGGTGTTCTGGGCATGTTCGCCTCCTTTGGCTGGGTCAACTGTGTTGCAGTCTTCCAGGCTGAGTATGAGCTGAACCAGCTGCGTGACTATTCCAGTTCGCAGGTGTCCTGGATCTCCTCGGTGCTCTGTATGTTGGCATCCCCCTCGAAAAGCGCAAAACCAATATCTCTGACAAGGTCTAGTCTTCTTCATGCTCGGATTCTCCCCCGTGGCAGGTCGACTGTACGACGGCCATGGCCCGCGTCTCCCCATCGTAATCGGCACCTTCCTGCACGTCTTCGGCCTCATGATGGCCAGCCTGTCCACCAAATACTACCAGTTCATCCTCAGCCAGTCCGTGTGCTCTGGCCTCGGCACCTCGTTGATTATCACCCCATCCATGACCGCCGTAAGTGGCCCAGCCCAGCATCTGCCCCCTACTCCCACAAGCAGACCACTCATACTTCTTCCTTCCTCGAAGCCAATGACCTACTTCCACGATCGCCGCGCACTGGCCGGAGGCTTCGCCATCGCCGGCTCCTCACTGGGCGGCGTCATCTTCCCCTTTATGGTCAACCACCTGCTCTCGTCGATCGGTTTCGCCTGGACGATGCGCGCCTGCGCGTTCCTGATCCTCGGCCTGCTGCTCGTCACCTGCACGCTAATCTCGTCCAACGCCACCCACAGCCCGAAGGAGTTCAAGCTCAGCCACTATCTGCGGCCGTTGAAGGAGGTGAACTTCTTACTGATGTGCATCGCCAGCTTCTTCATGTACTGTGCGTTCTCCCATTCCTCTATCCAAAATCCTCAAGAAGCAGGCAACAAAGAGGCTAACACAAGTGAAAAGGGGGCATGTTCGTCCCCTACGTGTTCATGGTAATCTCCTCCATCCACTACGGCATGTCCGTGACCATGGGCTACAATCTGATCCCCATCCAAAACGGCGTAAGGTATGTTGCAGCCCTCCTCTTCCTCCCAAGAAACCACCGTATCCCCCCCCCGCAACAAACAAGAAACTAACCCACCCTTAAGCTTCTTCGGCCGCACCGTTCCCCAAATCTGGGCCCGCAAGTACGGCCAATTCAACGTCTTCATCCTGGCGATGGTCGCCTCGATCGTCGTCGTGCTCGCCTCGTGGCTCCCCTCGCGCGGCAACGCCGCCATCATCGTCTTCACCATCCTGTTTGGGTTCGTGTCCGGCACCACCATCGGCTTGGGCCCCATGCTCGTCATGGCTCTGTCCCCGCCAACCGAGATCGGGTATCGCGTTGGCACGGTGTTTGCGGTGGCTGGGTTGGGGGCGTTGACGAGTCCCCCCATCGCGGGTGTGTTGATTACCCGGAATGGCGGGGATTATGTGTACGCGGCGGTGTTTAGTGGGGTGGCGTATGCGGTGTCGACGGTTGTGATGGTGATTCTGAGGGTGAGGATTGGGGGTTGGGGGTTCTTGTCGAAGGTTTAGTTAGGGGTGGTTTCGTGGATCTTGGGGAGGGCTTGGTCTGGGCTTGGGAAATGGCGGAGCAGTAGAGGGGAGGAGAGGGTTGATGGTGTACATCTGTCTTAGATGCATAATTTATGTAAAAAGGTTAGATTATGATTTGTCTCATATAATCGGTTAATAAGAAAATAAAGTTCTAGGTGCAAGTTCCATCTTGGTGAAAGTGTGTCTTTGACATCAATTGTAGAGCAGATTATAGTATGTAGGAGGACAGATGTAAAGCGCAAAGGTTTAACACCACCCTCACATAGACATTATTGTTATATTTTCTTCTTGTTACGCTGTTTCCTCAGAGTATAGTATCGTCCACTGACATATTTCATATACGCAACAAATCACTACCCTCAATTTGTTCCTCCCAAACTACAAATCGGACACGATTGCAAAAAGCACCGATATTGCCTACCTACCTGCCTACCAGAGAACAGAAACCATCTCAGCAACTAACCAGAAACCAACTAAGCGCACGCCCGAATAGGATACACCAACTTAAATCCCGCCGCCTGACCCCGACGCACCGCGTCAATGCCCCCAATTACCCCCTGCAACCCGCCGGACTCCTCCTGCACGGGATGCGTGACCAGCTTCCCCTCCGCCAGAACCGCCTCCATCGCCGCGTACCACCGCTCCGCCGCGGCGCGGTCCGCCGGCCGGGCCAGGAGATTGTACGGCGCCTCCCAGCCGACGATCTCGCGACCGAACTGCGTGAACAGGAAGACCCACTCCGGCCGCACGCTGCGGCGCGTGTGCCGGTTCAGCGGGAACGGGTCCAGCGAGACGTACTTGCCCCCCGCGCGCCCGATCGCCTCGTAGCAGATCTGCATCGAGTCCGTCGTGCTGATGCAGTCCAGCGCAAACGCTAGCGTGTTGCCCGTGTGGTCATGCAGGTCCGAGCCGCAGGTCGGCGAGCGGTAGTCGAAGGTCGCGGCGGCGCCGAGTTGCTGTAGCCGGGTGAAGTTGTGCGGGGAGCTGGTGGTGAGGGGGGTGAAGCCGGATCTGTTTGCATATTCAGACAAATGGTTAGTTGGGTTGGGGTTTCTTTTGTCTTCTGGTCTTCTTTTTGTCTTTCTAAAGAAAGGTTTTGAGGCGTAGGGTTGCTTACCGGCGCAGCACCTGGATGGCCAGCGTCCCTGTCGCGGTACCTCCGCCGTACACCAGGACATACGTCGGAGGCTTCTTTGAGTCGGTACTCTCCGACTCGGATGCTCCGGCGCCCACAAGCGGCAGGCCGAGGGTCTGGTACAGCGCCAATCCGGTGGTCGCCAGCCCGCAGCCCAGCGTCGCCGCCTGCTGGAAACTCATCGAGTCCGGGATGCAGAGCACCAGCGCCGCGGGCACGGCGACGTACTCGGCGAAGGCGCCGTTGTCGCGTTGGCCCGCGTTGTTGCCGAACACGCAGCCGCACACGCGCGTGCCCAGAGCCAGTCGCGCCGACGAGAAAGCGGAGGAGGTGACTTCCTCACCGAGGGCCACGATCTCACCAGCGAAGTCTAGCCCCGCGGTGGCACCGGGGCTGGGCGACATGTCGGCGGATTTGGCGTCGTACGGGTTCAGTCCCACACAGGCGACCCGCACCAGCACCTCGTCGGCGCGCAGCTGGGGTAAAGGCTGGCTGGTCTGCAGCTCAATGCTACCGGGACCGGCGATCTTCAGCGCCTGTTGGGTAGTCGGTAACTCGCTCATGGTGGCTGATGTGTGTGGACAGGATGCGGGGGTGGGTTGGGGCTGTGGCTGTGGCTGTGGCTGTCTTCGCGAGTTGTCGACGCGTGGAGAATGGTGGACTGGGTATGTATGAGGTCTGGTTTGGTTTATGACCGGATGGCTATTGCTGCGATGAAGTTATTTAGTTGTCTCTATACTTCTGGGGTTTCCGATGATGATGGCTATAGCGTCGCGGACTGATTGGCTGGCGGGGTCCGGCGGGCGGACGGACTTAGGGCTGACGCCGGAGTTGCTGCTTACGCTCCACGGCCTTTGTCCGGAGGATGCATCAGGAGAGGTTGCGGAGATGGAGGCAGGAACCGACAGAGAAAAAGAATACATACGTTATCTACTGACATGATCCAGCTTTTCCGGATGTTGCCAATCTCCTGTCTCAAGTGAATTGTTAATCCCTTAGAGCCACATTTACAGTCACAACCTGTGGAACTCCAACATGGCAACCAGCGCTTTCTTGCAGCAGTTCCAGGCGGACGAGACCAAGAACCAGTATGTCAGTGCAGTGGCTGGCTCGGTGCTCGTCTTCGCCAGTGCGTTCGCATTGAACGCCATGCGGCGACCGAAAGAATTCACAACCGACCAGGGCAAGCGCATCGCCGAGCTTCCCGCCGACGTGCGCATGTCCAAGTTCATTCGCAGGTGAGGATCACCCAGGAGCAGTCCCTACATCAATGACTACTGATCAGGTTCACTGACAACCCTCAAGTCGGGAATTGTCCGAACAAGGGGAAGCTCTCGCCGGCACCGAGCCGTATCTCATCCGCAGCGGGCCCTATCGCGAACTGGTGATCAGCCAGCCCGACCAAATCCACGAGTTCTACCGCAGCGACAGCAAAGCCCACACCAAGCCCCGCAATCTGAACCTGGGCGAGCCCTTTGGCCGCTTCCTGGGCCCCTGTGTCGGGGTGCAGTACGGCGACCACTGGCGGGCGATCCGCAAGCACTTCGACCCGCCCTTCGCCTTCCACCCGGTCGCCCAGCGGATCCCGCGGTTCCAGCGGGAGATTGAAGCCTGGCTGGAGAGCAAGGCCCCGACGGCGACCAGCGAGCTCGACAGCAAGGTCGATTTCCGGTTCTTGGTCTTCAAGCTGCTCTCGCTGCACCTGTATGAAGATGCGTTCGATGATCGAGTGCGTTTTGCCTTGTTTCCATTGCGATCGTCGTGCCGTAGCTGACAAAGTATGGCTAGTCCTACTGGACACTGCTGGAGCTGAACGACCAGCACGACGCCATCATGATGGACATGCTGGTTAGCAAGCACCCAGACTCCAAGCTCTACAGCATGCTGCCCAGCGCCCCCCGCAAGCGACTGCAAGAATTCCACACCCGCTGGCAGGAGTTCAACCGCCTGATCGTCGAGAACGCGCGTGTCGTAAGTACTCCGATCATATCCCCTCCCCAACTTCCAGTACTAACCATCACCAGGGCGGCTGGGCGTGTCCCGTCGAGACGATCTACTGCGGCGTGGAGCCAGACAAAGACTTCACCGAAGACGCCGTACGCGCACCTGCAGCCCCCCATCCCCAAGAAGTCACCGTCTATGCTAACTCCAGCACAGTTCCTAGCAACCATGACCGAGATCCTCTTCGCCAACGTCAACATCAGCGCCGAGGTCTTCCGCACCATCTTCACCAACCTCGCCACCCACTCCCGCATCCAGACGGCGCTCCGCCAGGAGATCCGGGACTGGAAGGCGAAGCCCGACTTCGATCTGTCCAAGTACCTCGCGAAGCAGGATACCTTGCTCAACCGCGTGCTGATGGAGAGCATGCGTATCTCGCCTGCCTTTTGTTCGTGACCCTATCCCGTATTTCCTGATGAGAATATAAGAAAGAAGCATTGCTAATCTCTATGACGATAGGGTTCTCCATGCCCGAAGCTACGGCGGAGCCCAAGAAAATCGGCGGGTACAACATCCCCGCCGGCACACCGGTGGTGATCGACACGCGCCGCCTGAACAACGGCGCCGCCACCTGGGGCGCGACCGGCGCGGACCGGTTCGACCCGGATCGGTTCTTGAAGGTGGCCAGCCAGGACCTGCGCTGTGGGTTCATGCGGTTTGGGACGGGGGCGGCGTCGGGACGGTGTTTGGGCAAGAACGTGGCGGATGCGGTGTTCAAGCTGACGGTGATGGAGGTATTGGAGCGGTTTCGGCTGGAGAGCGTGAGTGAGAGTGGCAAGGAGGCGCGGAAGGTGGATGTCCGGTTGGTGGCCTTGAAGTAAGACAGTTGATTAGTTGCTGTAGTTGGTTTGTTTTCTCGGATTGTTAGTTGGTTGGCTGGGTTGAATTCGATTATGAGTTCTGCGAGTCTCTGGAAATCTATGGTCTTTGTTCTTGGTACCTGCGAGATTACAGTATTTGACGAAGTTGTCCGGGGGGAATGGCTAATACACACTCTAGAACACATTGAACTGGTCGAGATACAAGGTAGATCATAGAGTCTTCTGCGTCGGTGGTAATAAGATGGATTGATACAGTCCTTGCTGTATTTACGCCCTCCCGAAACTCCTACAAGTATCTGTCCGCATGCGATGAAACACTCGAAGCCACGTTTTTTTCTTCATTAAAAACAAGCACTAACGCAATAATCAGGTAAAGACCAGCTACATTGGATTTCATCCGGATAAGACTAGCAGGGATCGGAGTACGCCTGCCTGCCTGCATGCACGCAGCCTCCACATCCGGCTTCCACCTCCGGCCCTCCGCTCGGCATTTCCCCCTACCCCTATCCCCTACCTCCTATTTGTGCTTGTGCAACGCAACCAACACACCCGTCTTATTCGACGGCCCAATGCGCATGACCGAGACAAACGGATTCTCATCGCGCGGCTCAATGCGAGCGTACACCTGCGCCAACCGGGCCAGGATATACGCCGTCTCCGTCTGGACCATCATCTGCGCCGGACAGCGCCGGGGCCCGCCCCCGAAGGGCACAAACTCCCAGAAGTGGGCCTGGTCCACAAATCGCTCCGGCTTGAAGGCATCGACATCCTCCCCGAAGTAGAGGGGATCCTTCTGCATGACCGTCTTGGTGACCTGGACGACATCGCCCTTGCGGATCAGGATGGGCGACTTGCCGTCGGGCCCGCCCCCGAGCGGCAGGGTGGTGTCGTTGATGCACATGCGCACCTGTGACACGTTGTTGGGATTGAGCCGGTGCGTCTCGTTGATGCAGGCGTTGAGGTACTTCATGCCGCGCAGCGCCTCGAAGGTGAGGGGGGCGTCGCCGTGGGCCAGCACCTCCGCGCGCACCTTCGCCCACGCCTCCGGGTTGCGCGCCAGATGCCACACCACGTTGCCCGTGAAGATCGAGGTCGTGTCGTTGTTGGGCACGAACAGCAGCGACAGCTGGGATCGCAGCTCTGCCCGCTCCGGGCAGTGCTTCGCCATGTACCACAGCAGGTCCAGCCGCTCGGGGCCCACGTCCTCCCCGGCCGCGATCCGCCGCTCCCGCTCCGCGATGTCCGCGTACACCCGGTCCAGGTGCTCGTCCATGTACGCGTGCACGATCTTGATCGCCCGCAGCCACCACGACCAGTCGATCAGGTTCATCACCTTGTACATTTGCAGCCGCAGCCGGTTGCCCCGCAGCACGTCCAGCATCGCCCAGGTCACCCGCGCCCGCTCGGGGTGCGTCAATGCATCCATGGGGGCGCCGAAGATGAAGTTAGTGGTCACGTCGAGGAACTAGTAGGTGGTTAGTCGATTGTAGATGAGCCAGCGGAGAAGAAGGCAGGGGAAGGGGAAACTCACCCATCGCTGGAGGTAGGGCTGGATGTTGACCGTCTCTCCGTCCGGAGGCAGGATGCGCAGGAGATGGTCGGTGTAGGAGCGCAGCCGCTCGGTGTCGGCGTAGACTTCGCGCATGAAGAAGGGCTTGATCAGCGCGCGGCTGAAGACCCAGTCCTCGCCGTCGACGACGTTGACGCCGCGGTTGGCGAACGCGGCGCCGGCATTCTTGTAGCGACGGAGCGGGCTGATGGCGAAGTCCTTCCAGTTGATGGCCGTCAGCGACTTGAGGTTCTCGGGCTCGATCGTGTAGACGACTCGCGTGCCCATGAAGGTGATCTGGAAGGTCTTGGGCTGGCCCTTGTGCAGCTCGCTGAGCCAGGGGATGAAGTAGTGGCCCCGCAGCGCCTGCCACTGCGTCCACACCAGATCCACCCCCCAGAACGGCTCCCACTGGAACCGCGAGGGGACCGACTTGCAGCCCCAGGACCGCTGCTTGCGCAGGTCGCTCGCGCGGCGGACAAAGGACCGGAATAGAAGGGCCAGGAAGCCAGAGCAGAGGAGCAGAATGGGCAGGCTCTGCACCGGGAGGTTGTGGTACTGCACCAACATGATGGAAAAATCGTGTTGCTGCCGATTTTGCACGAGAGAAAATGATCTCAAAATTCTAACCAAGCAAGTTGGCAGTAGCAGTAAATGAAACAGAAGGCCGGATTATTTCATATATCTATCTATTGTCAGTCAGCCCGAAACCAAGGACAAGGCCAGTCCGGCGGTGCTTGGCGGGCAGCTCCGGGGCTGATGGAATCTGACCGGACATCAGCACCGCAACCGCCGGACTTTTGAAACTCACCCACCTCCAGCCCTAATGAATCTCCTCTCCATGTGCTTTTCCGACACCGCACCACCAACTTAAGCCTTGTCCGACGACCTCATTGGGTGTAGTCTCATTGGATGTACTTCTCCGCGTGGCAGACAGGGGTTCAGTCCGCGTGGACGTCCGCTCCGGCGGGTCTGAAGACGATGAGGCTGGGCCGGGGGCTTGAATGCCTGCGTATATTCTACATCGCAGACATATACATACGCTCTACGATCGCACCACTGGACAAATCCCCATCATCCGATCATTTGTACATCCCTCCTCCAACTTCAACAGAATTCAGGCCGACTTGCCGTGAATAGCAGTGACTCGCTATTCCCAAACACTCCCCACTCTTTCAACAACAACACACAAAGAAAATGTCTCCCTCCCTTCCTGAACCCATCGCCATCGTTGGCTCCTCCTGTCGGTTCCCCGGCTCGGCCTCCTCCCCCTCTAAGCTCTGGGACCTCCTCCGCCAGCCCCGCGACGTGCGGCGAGAGTTGAATGCC